CATCAAACACATGGGCTTCTTATATGCTGAGGGGGCCCTTGTGAAAGTGAAGGCAGAATCCTTTTAACCACCAGTACACACACACACACACACAGTCAACACAGTGACTAATTTGTGTGAATGTTCAGTTTTGATTCCTCAAGCTGTGTTTGCCTCCACGCTCTGCTCCATACATGCCCACGCATCTTTTGCAACACCCTCCTGCTCCTTTTTGATAGAAACAATGTACTTGAGTGGGATACACTGTGCAGGATTCCCATTCACATATACAGCCTGATAGTGAAGACTGTTGTTTTTCTCATCTCTTAAGTGTTTTCTCTGTATACCTTCATACGATCTATTGGGGCAACCACAGTTATTCAATTAAATAAAAAAAGTAATTGTTTGCAATGTATATATTGTGGTGTCAGCTCAGAAAAAACATCATCTTTTATTTTGAACAGGCACTTCAACAGACAACAAGAAATGCCCGGAAAGGGAGTAACGCAGGAGGACTCAACATAATGAGAGTAGACACTTCTAACCGCTAGTTACACTACAAAGCCCACCCTCCTCTGACACGGTTTACTCTAAACAACACAACTACAATAATAACTCCACTTACTATATAGGTGCACTTTGTAGTCCTGATCCACTCGTACCAGCGCAACACACACTAACACACCACCACCACATCAGTGTTACTGCAGTGCTGAGAATGATCCACCACCTAAATAGTACCTGCTCTGTGAGAGTCCATGGGGGTCCTGACCACTGAAGAACAGGGTAAAAGGGGGCTAACGAAGTATGCAGAGAAACAGATGGACTACAGTCTGTAACTGTAGAACTACAAAGTGCACCTATATAGTAAGTGGAGCTGATAAAATGGACAATGAGCATAGAAACAAGGTCATAATGTTGTGCCTGATCGGTGCATATAGTGTAGCATGTTCAGGAAATGTTTTGCATGTTGATTTTAGGTTATTCGTTCTTAAGCATTTATCCACAGGGTTATTCTGCTAAGGACTCTTATTGTGAAGGTTGGGGCTAGGTCCACCCAGGGGGATATGTGTGTGGGCAGAAAGAGCTGAGAGAGTGAGGTGTAAGCTGAGTAACTCTGATTATGTACTGCGTAGCTGTGGCCAACAACAACTGGAGAATAAAGCACCACAACTTTTGCCAAAGCTCTGTCTCTTTTAATAGTAGTGAACACTAATATATATATACCAGATCAGATACTTTGACTATAAAAAAATGAAAAAAATTCTACAGTACAAACAAAGTGACATCTGAGCAAAGATGCTTCAAGCGAGTCCAACTTAAGTCTCAAGTCTCAGGGGTGTGAGACGAGTGAGTCTTTGGTGGAGAATTTTGGTTTAGTCTTGTTATTAGCTACAGGCATTGCTTTGTACCAAAGCCCCTCCTAAAATCCTGTCAGGTTCAACACAGCTTCAAATGAAATGACTGGTTAGCCTATAGTATAAAGTACTCTACTTAACTATTTGAAATTGTTTTGTGTCTTTCCTTTAGATGCCAAATTTATGGACTGTAGAGGTTCATTCTGTCTAGCAGACTGAAGGTTTTTCTATACTGAAAGGTTTATTATTTGAAGCTATATTGAAGCCCACTGTGAGCTGCTGGAGAATAGTGCTGCAGTAGTGACTGTGCATGATAATAGCAAAACTGACAGGCAAAGTCTCACACGCAAGGTTAGAAACAAAAGGTTTGAATTATTTACCGCATTCAGGTTGATGGTCCTAATTTAATCAGTTTTATTTATGTTTGTTTTTCTCAGGCTGAAATTTCATGAGTCTCTTGTCTCGAGTCTGAGTTGAGTCACGAGCCCCCATCTCTGCATCTACTGAGTACTAGAGACAACACAATATGTTTGCTTTGTACATAGCAAATGAAACACAATCTCTAGTGCTCAGTTGGAGACTACAGAGTACTGGAGAGAGGATGGAGTTTTCAGTACCACACAGAGGTGAAGACCCAGCTAGAACTGGAGAAACTCTAGAAGCTCAGTTGTTTTGAAGGCATCAAAGGGAAAAGAACAGCAGAGATCTGAAGCAATGGCCCCTCAGCTTTCCACACCAGTTTGCCCAGCCTTGATGGATTTCGTTCTGAAAGACCCACAGCCCACGGCCCTAAGAGCTCGGCTCTGCAGCCTAACTCTCCTGCTGCTAGCAGTGGCCTTCAGCTGTCAGAACAGAGGCAGACATTGCTCTGAATATCTGTTTCCAACCATGCATAAAAGCCTGCCTTTGGTACATCAGCTGAGTCTAAGCAGACAGTGCAGAGACCGCTCAATCAAGAATACTATTTTTATAAACACGGCGTCTCGGTTCATATGTTAATTAAGAGCTGGCAATCAGAAAACAGAGGAAGAGATTTATTCTAGCTTTCTTGTCCTTCAGTTTGATGTCTAAAGATCACATGTAGACCCACAAAGCAGCCGATTGGCTCCATCCTTTTGTGTCACCCTTGTGATAAACTCTTTCTTATGGTTCTTTGGAAAGACTTGGGCAATTTATTTTCAATGTCACTCACTTGTTCTGATACTGTTGCTTTGTTTCTTAATTTTTTCTGTGTGTGACTTCACGTCCTTGAGCAAAGCCCTTAACTCTAAGTCGATCCTGGGGTGCAGCCCTGCTATGCCATTCTCCTCTCCATAGGGTATGTAATTGAGAAAATTCTCACAGCAATTTTCATGTTGAAGCAAATCAAAAAGCAAGGAGATTGTGTCTGCGACCTAATTGGATGATATCTGTTTACTTTGGGGATGCAGTATGTTTGCTTTATTGCTTCACTTGGTGGTTTGACAGAACCTTGAGAAATTTTGTTTTTTTAAACACACAGTCTCCACTTATTGTTTACTGTTTGCAAGGATGGAAACTGTACTTAAGTTCAAGTATGAGTATTGTGTCAAAATCTTGTGTCAATATCTGGAATTTTATATCGGGAAATATGCAGCCTCAAATATTTTTGAATTAAAGTTAAAGGCATCTACTTTCAAACATATTCAAATATATCAAACTTTTTTGACATAAAAGTTTTCATTGTTCGATGGTATATGATGTGGTAGTGCATGGTGTGGTGACTAACTGGCGATAGTCCTTGCACCAAGACAACTTAGCATTGTTAGCATCACTAGCATATTAGTTTTATCATTTTACAATGGTACAAATTTGGTTGGATGCTGTAATAAAGCCCGTCAATTAAAATGCCCGGGAACTCGACCGACTAGCAAGAAAAAAGGAAAAAATCTTTCAGCTTTTGAGATTTATAATGAGTACTTTGAAGGCCTGCATACAAATATGAAGACAAAAAAGTATGTTTCTCTCTTGGGAGCATGATTGAGTCAAATATTCAGTTTTCAGTAATACTGGAGTAATGCACAAATCCTCCAAAATGAACACAAGTATTGTAACAAAGTACAAATATTACTCTAATATTTTCCACCTCTGCAAATTTAAATACTCTCTACTTGTTGCATCCGACAGTAACAGTTACAGTTACAGTGTGATTGAATATGAGGCCTATATAATGTTATTTTGTTACTTCTCATGCTGATGCCTCGTTTTGGTATAAAACTGATTAGAAGCAATTAAACCTAAAAAATAAAAGGTATCAGTTTTGGAAGAGTTTTTAACATGAAATCTAAGAGAACACGTTAAACTTTTCAAGGTGTTAATCCATCTCAGGAACAATGCGTCATTTTTCACAAGGTTTCCTTGCTGACAGTGGGTTAACCGAGTAACAGGGTTGAAAGTAACAAGGTTGAGTTTTTATCATAGAATTAACAAATACACAAGATGTGGTAGCACCTATACGAATAGTGCAAATATATTGTGGCATTTACTGCTATTAAAAGAGACACTGCTTTCGCACAAGTCATGGTGCTTTACTTTCCAGCTGTTCCGCAGCCATACATAAGCGAAGTTTTTCTCTCTCTAACAACTTGTTCCCTGTCCCAGCTCATCTCTCTCTCTCTCTCTCTCTCTCTCTCTTTCTCTCTCTCTCTCCACACTCACCTTCCCACACCCCCAGTTTCAGACCCCCCTCTCCAAAAAGATAGCAAAATGAACCAAGTGCAAAAAATACTAAAGAACACATAACCCAAAACTAACATAACAAAACATTTCTTGAACATACTGAAATATTCAGGACTTTCTGGTGATCTACTTAAAATGTGTGTGTATATATATATATAAACATTATAGTGGACTGGTGGGAGAGCCAAAAGTTCTGTACACAGGCTTGAATAATGTTTTCTGTTATCTCAAACATGAACATGGGTTGTTTGTCGTAAAGACACGTTACATATGTTTTAAATGTATTGTGTCGCCAGAGCACGCCCAGGTTCCCATGATGCCTTGTTAATACTTGGCCGGGCTGTATTTAGTTCTAAAACAGTAAGTAGAGGTATTTTCTTCCATTTGTTAATGTTTGGTTATGCTAACGTTTAAGCAGGTTGGGTGGGCACTGTGTTGTGGGTGTGTGAGTGTTTAATAACCCCAGGATGCTCTGGCTGAACACGGCGGTGCTAAAGGGTAGACTTTAAGGGTATATTTACTCCTGTTGGTAATAAAAATTATGTTTCTCTCTTGTGCTCTGACTGTCCAGTCAGTTCTAAATAATCTGTAAGCGCAGAGTTATCTACGCTTCTTTTGTATATCCCCAACACTACAGTAAATATGACATCAGTGAGACACAAACGGCATCCCGGTCGTGAAATCACCCTTAAAAGGCTGTAGTAAAAAGCACAACTCTAAAGCGTGTTTTCAGTCCCTGTAGATGTCGCTACGCAGCGTTATTGTTTTTCTCTCTCCACCCGTTTTCAGTCGGGGCACATTTCGATAGGTGGGCTGCTTGTGACTATGACCTACTAACCAATCACAACGCAAGTTTCGAGACCGGGATAACCAATCGTGTTGCAGGAGGCGGGACTTTGTTCGAATACGGGTGGTAAAAAAATAAAACACACACCACGTGCCGTCCTCCAGGTTCCCATAATGCTTAGTGTTTACGTCCCCGTTGACAGCACCGCCGTTGCTCGGCTTTGCCTAGTAACCAACTTGAAGTTCGCGGTGCTGTGCCGCTTTTCTGTTATTCGCTTTAAAAAGTAAGTACTCTAATGGTGTTTATCGGTTACTCCGGCATGCTTTGCCAGCAGAAAACAGCGGGAGACGACATCCTCGTTTTAAACTGCCCTGGTCTTCCTAAAACAGCGCGGTGACCGCGAAAGAGCTGCTCCACTCGTTAGCAAGGTAGCTAACTAACTGTCTAACTTAACGAGCGTGTGAAGTTGGTGGTGTTTGTGTTGTTTGGTTGTTGAAACCGGTCTCGTTTCAGGGGGTGAATGACCACGGACGGTGCTGTTTCTGCAGTTATTTTGCTTCCCTCGCAGGTTGGCATCGGTAGAGTTAACGAGGCTGAAGTTGGCTTCCTATTCGCCAGCGTCTTGTTCCAATTCTGCCGTTCCACCTTAAATAGTGCAGCAGTTTCATTATAGCGCCTGAGACTTGATTGCAACTGCGGCTCCATTTAAGGTGGAACGGTACAATTTGAATCAGAAGCTGAGTTCAGTTTCATGTAGAATTATGGATGAAGGTTTTTTGATTTTATTGTTGCTTTGTTGGCTCAACTTCCAACCAAAGTATGTCTTCTGCGGTCTCTCCTGTCAGAACCTCAACGCTACCTACCCACCTTTCCTTCCGTCCGCCTGCGAATAGCTCAGCTTTATAAGATCCACCCATCCCTGCTTTTTCAACTCCTGGGCTGTGTGGCTGAAACCGGACTGAAAATAGGCATATCTCGCACGAAGAGGCAAAGGCGAGCGTCTGCTTTTGTGTAAAAAGGGAAACGCGAACCTGCACTTCTGTTGTAGGTGCTAAAGCATTCACAGTGTAGGACATCCAGTCCGGTTACATGGCTGAGGCACCAGCGCTGCAGCGAGTTAAAAGCACTGCTGCTGCTGCCTTAGGGCTTCTACATTGTACGTAAGACCATTCAGACGGCCTTTTTAGTTAGTGATCTCAGCTACTTTAAGGTGCTCCCATTGCTGACATATGCGTTCAACTGCGCTTGCATAACCTCCATAGAAAAAAAGCACTTCAAATAGAATGGGGCGCTCTGGAGCAGCCGCTCATGAGCCTCAGCTACAAGGATATAAACCGCCCCCCTCAGTACTGGGCTGTGAGCAGTGGATCTGTGTTGTGAGTGATGGAGATTCATCCAGTACATTTGAGTATTGGCCTTTGAGTGTTGCTGGTCTCAGATGGTGCCATCAGAGCTGCTTCAGTAATGGTCACTTTATAGACAGGCCATTCTTGACTTCAGCTGACTGGATTTCAGAGGTTGCTGTGAGGCTACGTCACCTCCATAGATGGTATTGCATAGTAAATATGTTGAGTAAATTACTTGTAAACAAGGAGTAATAAATAGAAGATACTAATATTTTTTATCCAGTTAACCCGCAGGCAGTTTATTTATTATTACTGACGGTTAAGTACTGCTCTGGGTAATTACTGAGTTACAGGAATCAGTGGTGTACTTTTTGGGCTGGAGCGATAATGTTTCAAATGGGTTTTAGCAGTTAATCCCTTGAATCAAATTACCTTGAGGCACGACCTTTGAAGGCTTCTTAAAAAATAGAAATATGATTGGCAACTTTGTTGAGTCATGCCATTTTCTTAGGTTTGGTTTTACCAGATCTCTCTTAGAAAAGAGGCAGGATTTATTGCCTTCAGATCCTTCTTTTCCAAATAGTGTTTAAAAGGTTCTATATAGCACCAAAATGGTTCCTCTATTGTTACAATTTCAAGCCAAAGAATGCTTTTTGGTGCTATATAGAATAATTTTTAAAAAGTTTTATATAGAAGCATATAAAATACAGTCTCTATCATTCTGGAGGACCCTTTAAAGATGCAAAGAACGCTTGCAGAGTGTTAATGGTTCTATACAGAACCATTTTCTTTACTAAAGAACCCTTGAAAAGCCATCTTTTTTAAGTGTGTACAGTGAATCTACCAGTGCTTGTTTTTTTGAGATCTCAGCCATAGAGTACCTTAAGGCAAGTCTGAAAGCTGGGCTTGTGGCTCATGCTGGTAAAAGTAAGTGAGAATTGTCACGCTGGGCAGGAACAGATTTGACAGGTTTGACCATAAATGTATCACTGAGTTGGGATTGTTTGTCTCCTCAGCTGTCCTGTTAACCTGAGGCTGGATTCACGAAAGCTTTTATAAGAAAAAAATTGCGAAGGTTCTTAAGACAAACGCTAAGAAGTTCATAAGAATGTTCTTAAATAAACGTAAGAAATTCTCAAATATTCTCTTAAGATGATCTTAATTATTTTCTTAATGTTTTCTTGAGTATGATATGATAATTGTGGAGTGACGTATGAGAATGGGCAGGAGTAGCAGAGGCAGTGTCCGTGATAAATTCAGATGCTGACCTTGTCAACTCTTACAGCCTAAGACAAGTATGAGGCCATTGTAAGGTTAAAAAAACATTTATGAACATGATATCTTCAAGAATACCACTTGTTCTTAGAATTATTCTAATGTAAATAGTTAAGAAAAGAAAATAAGATAATTCTTAATTAGTTATTTGAAGAATAACAATTTCTCGTACTTTTTTTTCTTAAGAACAAAGTTAAGAAAAAACACATTTAAAAAGGTTTTCTTTCTTAAGACACTTTCATTAATCCAGCCCCAGATCTTTACTGTTCTGCCGTGGTCCTCAGTACTCTGCTTCTGTGTTCTGCTCTTTCCTCAGATTTTTCACTTGCGTGCATCCTCCATATTTTTAAAGTGCAGAAGGTGGAGAATGGTGCAATGCATGTGTCAGCACTTCATAAACATCATGTCCGTAGTGATTCATGTGAAAAGTTTTGTATCCTAGCAACACATGAGAAGAACACTATCTCTTGCTGATGCGAGCACATGGCTGTCAAGGAGGTTCAGATTCTCCGACCTGATGTGCAGCTGTTTACATGCAGCCTGATCAAAGGCTGGTCTCTTGCTCTTGCACAATCTCACAGGAGGTCAGAGAGGGACTGCACTGTGTGTGAAGTGCAGTGGTCAAGTTGGCTGAATGTTGGATCGGCTTTTCAAGTCCGTATAATCTTAGAAATCAGAGAACGCAGATGTGCACTTCTGAACCACGAACAGTTTTGTTTTTCTCTCTTTTTGCATAGTAATTGGAACTATGTGTATTGTTATTTTCAAAGATTGCATTTTATTTTCACGCATCTGGTTTTGCATTTCTTTTTTTGTTTTTAACTGCGAGGTGTTACTACAATATTCAAACTATACAAGCTGTGAGAACCACCAAAGCGTGTGGGGTCCATTGATGCAGATACGTTTTTGTTTATCCAGCATTATCTTAGAAAAGCTGTTTTGGATTGCTTAGATGGAGTCACAGTTTAAAGTGCGCTTGAGGCTGAGTAATGCATGATTGGTGTGATAGAAGTAATATCAGCCGATTTCTTCTGGCTGGCCTTTATGGAGTTATACATTAATTTCGTAGGTGAAGGTGGGCGCGTTTGGAATGAAAGAAAAAGAACAATTCTGGTTGAAGGTTGAAAATGAAGTAAAGTCTGGGAGAATTTTGTTAAAACTTCGCTTTCCACAGAAGCACAACCTAACCTTCAACCATGACAATAGAAACCATTGTGGTGTTGATTCTGAAGCAGCAGAACACCATTGTCAGTACACCATTGCTGGTGTTCTGACAAACCAAATTACTCCCTGAGGACGCGCAGTTTAGACTGTTAGTGATTTGTCAGAATGAGCTAACGTTACTCTTACAAACATCACTAAAGCTCATTATGTTACATTACTAACGTTAGTCACAGGAATATTCTAAGCCATATCAGTTTCTGTTAATTAGAAGTATTTAAGAGCTACTTCAAAAATCTGTTTGACAAACATTCGGCAGCTCATCCTGCCACAGCAATAGAATTATTATATAACTAACTATATATAACTGGTTAATTAGCTTGAAATACAACTAACATAGTTTTCATGTGGAAGAGAAGCAGTCTGCTTGTCCTTTAATCTGTATTTTGCCTGCAGTTTAATTCATCTTAAAACACACAAATGTTATTGCTGGTATTGATTGAAAAGCAGCAGATAACTAACTACAGTGTTAAATGTAGTGTGTCCTGGAGAAACTACATTTCGTTATTCTCTCAGCACATCTGTGATAAGAAGAAATGACAGAAAATCTCACTTTGACTCTGACTCATTAGAAACCTGTTCACACAGAGCTCGTCTAGTGAACTAGGAAGTTAAAAGGTTAAACTGGTTAAATGATGCTACGGCCTGATGAGCTGTAACCTTAATCTACATATTTATTACTATATCACTTGTTTTTAGCTATTGCCTATTATTTACTGTGGCCCAGAGTTATGAGCAGGCTTAGACATGCAGTCAGTTTACTATTTATACACAGAAATGTTTAATGATGATTCATGTCCAAATAAATCTTTTACTGATTATGCATCGTTACACTTTTGTTGAGCAGTAGTACGCATCATAAATGATCTCAGTTATAGATGAGGAAATTCCACCTCCTTGTTTTTTTGGTATGTGGATTTCATTGTCTTCTAAGATCAGTAAATGGAAGTATCTGCATAGAGGACATCCCTAGGATTACAATGTAGTGTTTTTTTCATTAAAGATTTAGGATGTTTGGCCTCCATTAGCTCTGAGTGTGCCTTATGTATCTGCTCTATATCTCCTGCTCATTAACAATTCTGTGATGCATGCCAGGCTTTAAAAGCTCATCTCAAGATGCCTCACAGTTGAGGTCTACATCAAACCTCGTTTGAAATATTTATTACAGTGTGGGGGCTGGCCACATATCTGAAACCACCTGCCATAGGTTATACCATCATCCTGAGTCTCCTTGATCCGTTAGTTTCATTTTAGGTTTCGTCTCGCTTTAGTGTCTCCCAGCCCTCCTCCCATAATTATTTTTTCCCTCTCCTTTTTTTGCCTTGTTCAAGGTGGTTGGATAACCTTAATAATGGACGACTGACCAGTGCCTGTGCTGAAGAGCCATGTTTGTAACACACCCAATTCAGCCCATCAGTGGTTTGAGAGAAGCAATTGAAGC